AACATAATTAAATTCTGAATTCGTTGAGCTTTTTGAGAATATTTTAATTTGAATGTTAGGTAGGTACCTATATTAGTTTTTCAGTAGTAATCGTTTTTGTTGCGACAGTCTCGCGCGGTCGTAAAAAAAGTTACTGCGCGGACAGGTGGGACGAGAATCACTTGCGCGGCGTTGACGGTTCGGTGGATAGGTACCTACCTACTGTTATTACCTAAATACCCATAACCTACTATACAACAAAATTTGACAAACTGTCGCTGCGTCGTGGACACTAAAATGTAAACTGCCTACCTACCTGCCTAAGTACGTCGGTACTAAGGAAACAGTCTTGACGGGTCACTTGTCTTGATAAAAACATGTGTTTACATCTAGTGATATTGTGTGTATATAAAAAAAGTAAGAAGACAGGTAAGTATTTTTGAAAACAATTTATAGGTAGGCAGAACTAATTAAAATTATTATCTAAATATTATAAATGCGAAAGTTTGGATGGATAGATGTATGTTACTCAATCACGCCAGAACAGCTGAAGGGATCTGGATGATATTTAGCTCAGAGATAGGTTATACCTAGTCTGGAATAACACATTGATACCGTTTATTCAGGTATTTCGTTCCTGTGGGATAATTTTCGAGTTCACGCGTTTTAAGCCGCTGGCAACAGCTAGTACGGATATAAACTGCGATGACTGTTCCAGTTCATACTTCGGCGTCGTGAACTCTTGAGTGATCGCTGCATGACCACCCGGGGAAAACTAAACATAATAAAATAAGCAATCTATATTAGGTATCTATAGAGCCATAGAGGTATAGTATAAAGCGATAACGCAGCGCCTAATAATTTAGTACGAGTGGCACGATGTCAGGTGAGACAACGTGCTTTTTGGCCGCGCCCACCAATGAGTTCGAGCCCGCGACTTGTGCCACCTACGCAATTCCTTTGTATAGTGCGACGTTGCCACTCTTATTAGTTATTCCGCTTTGTAATATTTTATTTATAGGTGATATTTTGTTTATGTAGGTATTCGATAGATTCCTATAGTCTGTTTTTTTCGCAGGAGACAAAAATAACAGATATTTATTAGATTCGTTTAGCACGAATAATACAGTTTTTATGATTCTGGTTCAGATTAGATTTAATTTTAGTCACTTAAATTTCGTATATTGTTCAAAATAATGAAATAAATCCACAGAATCTGCAGTTACGAAAAAAAGCAATATCATTTTAGTCTCCGGCGAAAAAAAAAGATATATATCATGATTAATTTACCAACTAGTTATTCGTTTACTAAATACGAAAAAATATTTAGACGTCATTTTTCTTCCAATCTTGCTGTACTGAATATTTACGTAGTCCTTATATTAATAATTATTACTTTGCTTTACCGCGGCAGTCCCCGAGTGCCACACGTCTTTTTATTATTTTGTTGTTATTAGGCCATTTACTTATTTGTTTCCCTCTGTCGCTTATTACGACATTCACAGGTCGTTTATGTGGTGTCGATATTCTTACAAATTTAAAATGTAATTCAAATAGTTTAGATTATAAATAACACTTATTGTAAATAATTTTAATTAATTTCACAATTTAATTTACTACTGTTACGAAACACCTCTTTCCTTCGAAGAACCCAAAATGGAGAAAATCTATTATTGTATATGAATTATTCTATTTTCTCGGAGATCCCGGAACCCTGATATAGGCTGATGGGCAGAAGTCTGGCATAAACTTTCTATTGCCCCCAAAGCGGAAAGTATCCTCAAAGATTTCCCCACAATAAAAATGGCCATGATAAATATGTTGTTACACCTCCTCCCCTGTACTACATTAAATTCTAAATCTCTAGTATGAGTAAGATGCACGAGTGTAATATGCGATGTGGCGTATGTGTGTAGATTTTGTGTTGGCCCTTTTTTGCACTTAAGTGCCATGTGGTCGATGGTCGTGTGGCTTAAGTACCGTGTAAACACGAGACACACGTGTGAAATTGGGTCGATTTAGAGCTTGCGTGACGAAAGCGTATCGAGACATACTGATATCTGGAGTGTGAAATCACAGTACGGATTGCTATTTGCAAAACTTGAAACTTAAATTCAAGTAAATCAAAGTCAAAGATAAATATTTTTATTCGATTTAGGTTCGTTGAAACTCTTTTAAACGTTAAAATCTACATCAGTTCGTAAAGAAGTAAGCCTTCTAAATTTAGTATAGCTAATTGTAAGTTCTCACTAACAAGAAAGAAAAAAGAAAGAAAAGCGATTATTCCACTTTCAGCATGCAGCACAAAATGTAAAAGAATAAAAATACTGGGCATAAAACATAAATGAAACGAGGTATTTATAAACACCATAAATTTAGGAAAATGCACTTAAAAACCCTGTGCGACAGCATGAAACTAATTGCAAATATATCACTGTACACCACTATACACCCTAATAGTTTAATTTCTATCCTATCCTGAAACTACCATCATCATCTCATTCGGCAGGCTTTTTGCTTCACTTGGTAGATAGTTGGACAAGTGTGTATTATGTTTGAGGTAAGAATGAAAAAAAAAATGAAAAGCAATAGATATAAATATGGCGGAATTTGAAATTATTTTTGCTGGCAACTAATACTCAGTCACAGTAAAACCCGTTTTATGGAGAAACAGATCTCCAAGGCAGTAGCGGGTGTGGCCGTGGAAGGAAAAGGGGAGATCTCCCGCCGGGCAAGGTGTTCTGCCCGGGGAGCGGCCAACACTCCATGTGATAGTTCGGAGATGTTCTATATATGCTGTTTATGATTCGGAATGTTAATAGCGTGATTTAAGCTTCGGTGTGTTTCGCTTGCGGCGCGATGACAGCGCCGCCACAGCGGGTATGGAGACAGTATTAAAAATCCTCCACGTTCTTTGGATTAAATATAGCTTTCTATCAGTTCGTTGAGTTTAATTACAATCGGCTCAGCTATTTCGAATATTCCCAATAATTCAGGATTAGCCCGGGTAGACAGACGTACAGAAAGCCAGACAGATAGATATACGAAAATAGTGGCGAGCAAATAATCCCTTCAGCCTAAAGCAGTTATTGGGTCCCTACGAGTACATATAAAATTAGCGTTTTGTCGTACTGACCACTCGATCTGAAATATCTATTTCCTCTTTGGTTAAGAATTCCAAATTCAAATTTATAAATTCATTTAGCTGGTACATTTGAGTTTTGAAAAGTCATTCATTTGTTTTTTTCTCTCATGGTTTTTTTAGTAAAGGGATCAATGAACTACCAATGAGATGTCAAAAGTGCATAGATAACAACAGTGTATACTTTGATTAATTAAATATATTTTACAAAAAAATTGATTTTATATTCCTCCCGTACAAAACGCCAATTTCATATATAAGAACCTATTATTTCAATATTACAGACATACACCCAGAGTTTATTTATACATAATATGTATAGATAAGTTATTGAGGTAATAGGGTCGTATGCGAGTATATCGTTTAATTAACCACACTAAACGACGACTCATTAATGGAACATCTGCTTCAGGAAGTGTTGCCACCTTGTGGCCGGCTCAAAGAAAGTATAACGGTCGAGCCGTTCACCCGAGTGTATTGTTAGTTTGTTGGTACCTCTATACTCCGTGTTTGTTAGTAGAATTCAAATTATGTAGGTATACCTTGAACAATGTTGGCGATGTGTCAACGGGAAGTTTTAAATTAACTTGTACTTATAATGATTAAATATTACAGATATTTATTAAGTACTTATTACTTATTATTGCGCTCATGTTAACGAAAGGCAATAACGAGAAAATTACTATCTGATTTTACATGGAATTTGCATATTTCGATAAATAATTTAATATAAGTAAGAAACGCTTGCCGTAAATTTTACAGCACGTGAGCAACAATGAATTGTTAGTTTCAACTTTAAAGGCTGATTTACCATGTACTCGCAGGTGAAGGTGAAGGAAAACAACGTGAAGAAATTTGCATTTCTGCAGAAAATAATATATTTATGGGAACTTCGCCAAAACCCACTGGTGCAGCGTGGCGGAATTATTTCCCTGTGCCCAGAAGCGGGACGTACTCGTATAACGGCTATAATTCTGCTTTTAAGAACTAAGATATTGAAGTATTAAATCTAATATATGTGCCAAATTTTTCTACAAATGTCAATTTTAACTGCAGGTAGCACCCTTTTGAATGACAGATCAGCCTGTGACGGCAGATTGAGAGCGATAAAACCATCCGAAAACGCTGAACCTTCCTTTTACAGTGAAGCATTATCAGTACGAGCGTATCGGATTTGCGATCACTGTCTTGAATGTAGAAGTCCGTTACGTCCCTCGCCATTGACGCCAGTTTGGGTATTTTACATCTGGCGTAAAAAAAGTTATACCGTCATCTATCAGAATTCATAAAAAAAATTGCCATTTCAAAATGATGATGAAAATATGCATTGTAAAATTCTACGCATGGTAAACGTGGAATTGCAGCATTTTAAAAACTTTACAGTGGTAATAATAATAAGTTATTAAATGAACGAACATAAATAATATCAAAAATGGTAGTAATATTATGGGGGAGATAGGTGTGAACGGTTTGTGCGGCATGGCACCCATGTAAGGATCTTTACTCATGTGCCATGACACTGTAATCTTGGAAGCATGTGTTTGCCGAGCACGCTAGGCGTCCTGCCCCGGCGTACGATTGTACTGAGTTCTACCCAGTTCTACTAAACGTAATTCGACATTGCAAATATATAAATAACAATAATTTTTAATAATAATCTGTGATTGCGTATACACAAAACAATCGTTGGCTAACAATGGATCGCATTATCATTTTATAAATAATGCGTTCTTTTATCAACTCGTTGTGAGGGTCGCGCGCCCGACGAATTTGTTTTTATACAAATTGTGTGTCCTATAGATAACGGTGAAACAACGTCAGTCGCGAGGCAGCCACTTGCCGATTGGCCGCGTCTCGTATCGGAATTTACGCCGCGAAAATGCTAAAGCTAGTCAGAAGAATAACCCAATTCCGGTACTACGGCAGTGCAAGTGTTATTGGTAGCGAGCCGAATAAAAATGATCCTTACTACCAAGAAAACAAGGCGAAAATGGAGGAGTTGGTTGACGAATTGCGTTTGAAAACTAGTGATGCTATCAAAGGCGGCCCAGAAGAGGCCCAGAAAAGGCACACGGCGAGAGGAAAACTTCTAGTGAGAGACAGGATTAACCGGTTGGTGGATGAAGGTAGCGACGTTTTGGAACTGAGTACGCTCGCCGCTACGGGCATGTACAAAGGCCAAGTGCCAAGTGCCGGCATCGTTACTGCTATCGGTAAAGTTCACGGTCGCGATTGCATGATAGTGGCCAACGACGCAACTGTTAAAGGTGGAACATACTTCCCCGTCACTGTAAAGAAGCATTTACGCGCGCAATCAATTGCCCAAGAATGTCGTCTTCCGTGTATTTACCTTGTAGACTCCGGAGGCGCTCATTTACCAGACCAAGCTGATGTGTTCCCCGATAGGGAACATTTTGGGAGAATCTTCTATAACCAAGCGAACATGTCCGCAGAGGGGATACCTCAGATATCGGTGGTAATGGGGTCTTGTACAGCTGGTGGCGCTTACATTCCTAGTATGTCCGATGAGAGTATTATAATTAAGAACCAAGGGACAATTTTCTTAGCTGGACCACCTTTAGTCAAAGCTGCCACTGGTGAATCGGTTTCAGCAGAGGATTTAGGGGGAGCAGACTTACATTGTCGTCAATCAGGCGTCACGGATCATTACGCTCAAGATGATGAACACGCATTACACTTAGCCAGGAATGTTGTCGCTAATTTGAATTGGAATAATGACCAGAAAACTCGAATATACACTCAAAAAGTTGACGAACCGGTACATGATATAAATGACCTTCACGGCATTGTCGGAGCAAATATTCAAAGGCCTTTCGATATCAGAGAGGTAGTTGCTAGAGTTGTAGATGGTAGCAGGTTTCATGAATTCAAGCAACTGTACGGCGAGACTTTAGTGTGTGGGTTTGCCACCATTTATGGTCACCCAGTGGGTGTGATAGGAAATAATGGCGTTCTGCAGTCAGAGTCTGCTCTGAAAGGATCTCACTTTATTCAACTATGTGCTGCTCGAAAGATTCCGTTGCTTTTCCTACAAAATATAACCGGGTTTATGGTCGGCAGGGAGGCCGAGGCTGGTGGCATTGCTAAAAATGGCGCGAAAATGGTAACAGCTGTTAGCTGCTTTAAAGGACCTAAAATTACTGTGATTGTTGGTGGCAGCTTTGGAGCTGGTAATTACGGAATGTGTGGACGAGCTTACTCCCCTAGTTTCTTATACATGTGGCCCAATGCTAGAATATCAGTCATGGGTGGGCCGCAGGCTGCCACAGTACTGTCTTTAGTTGCAAAAGAAAAAGCGCAGAGAGAAGGTAAGCCTTGGACTGAGGAAGATGAGAGAAAAGTCCGGGGTCCTTTGGAGGCCCAGTTTGAAAGGGAGGGTGTTCCGTACTATAGTACAGCAAGATTGTGGGATGATGGTATAGTAGCGCCAAAAGATACGAGAAGAGTTATAGGACTAAGTTTATCGGCCGCTTTGAACGCGCCATTCAGAGATAGCAAATTTGGAGTTTTTAGGATGTGAAGTGAAAATAGAAGAGTGCTTCGCGTGTTACTTGCTCAATTGTTAAGTTTATGCTGCGGTGAAAAGGATAGTTTGTTATCTTACCCATACAATGATAAGGATGTTATATTTGTAAATTTAATTAACTCAACAGTGATTTGATAAAAAAGGCGTTTGTTCATTAGGTTTAAACTTTGTTAGTAGTGTTGTGAGATTTCATTTTAAAATGCTTATTATAGATCTGACTTTCATATTTACCTACTATTAAAGATAAAAGACAGATATATTTTGTGTTAAAAAATTACTTACTCATAAAAAAATTTTAACTTTAAAGTTGCTCTGTCTCTTTTCACTAAATGAGAGTAGACAACGACAGGTACAGAGATAATTAAAACACTAACGTAAGCAATAATAATTAACGAATATAAGCAAGGTCGTATAATACGCTTATAACAAATCTGTACTTATAGCAGTAATAAATAAAACTATTATTTATTCTGTGATAAAACGAAGAATAGTTTTTTTATAAACAACATTTTTGTGTAGTGTCGAGTCATTGAATTAAGAATATTATCAAAAAATACTTTGGATTAATTTATAAATTTTTTGAAACATGCTGTATTTAATGTATGTGTAAATTAAACATTAATTCAAATCAAAGGAGAGATACTTATTTGATTTTAAAGTTTTCTCCGTTAGTGTGTTATATTGCGGTAAAGTTTAGAAATAAATATAATAATAGTTAAAAATAGAGAGTAAATAAAGCCGTGAAAATCCACTACCACATATCATTTTGTGGATGTCGTAAGATTCGATAGAGAGAAATGAAATTAGAGATGGGCAATACCATCTTCCTGATAACAAATCACAATAAGGATAAATTGCGGTTGTCAACGCGTCCGCCTAGCGTGGCAACTGTCTTTAATATACCCTCTATCTTCGGGTGATGTTCAGAAGTGAACTTTGAATAGGCTATAATGATGATGATAATGATGGCGTGTATAACTGATGTACAACAATATAAACTACGATTTTTATTCAAGAATACAACCTTCTCAAGACAGGTAAGAAACTAACGTCATTTTTATAGTTTTCCTAGTGTTTATTTCTTGAAAGGTATTAAACTTAAGTTTTATTGTCAATTTAATGGTTGTGTCTGGTCGGTACACATTTCTTGTACAAATTATGCATATTGCTACTTAATCTTGTTTTTTACATTCCGCGGTTGTGTCATTTTAATAAATAATTAATATTTTTTTAAATAATTTTTCTTTATTTTTAATAAGCTATTTTGTTTTCGCATTAACTGCTCGACTATATATTGTGCATTGTTCCTAATACATTTGCAATATTTCAGGTTATTCCATAGAAGTTTATACTTAATCCACGGGTTATTCAGATTTCCGGAAGTGAGTGTACAAATTATAAAACTATATTCATACATACATACAGATCATGGTATTAAAAGCGTGTTAAGAATTTTTTCATTCAAATATTCATATAAAGAACTTTATAATCTATGCTTTGCGATGCATCCTCCAAGATTTTGAGTACCGTAAGTATTTTACGCTTTCCAGTCTCTCGCTACGATGGTCGAGCGCTCTAAAGGTTTTTTCGAATAGAATTCTTTACAAGAAACTCTATCTAGTCGTTATAGCAGAGTTCTTAACGGAGTTAACTGTCGATTTGTATGCCGAATGCACATATGTGTCCTACTTTGGGGAGCTTGAATGATTTACTTGCTTCAGTCTAATGATCTTTGGAAGGCGTTATATAATTTTAAATTTAAATATATTTATGCGTTCGTTTTAGGCCTTACAATATCATCATTAGGTCATACTGATCTGTCACCTATTATCCTAAAAGGCGATTATAGAAAACCCAGGAAAGAACTATTGATTTTCGATAAATGGCGCTATCTCATTTATAAAAGTAAAGTAAAGTTACATCTTACATACGCCATATTTATCGTTTCAAGTTACAACTGTCCCTCTCCTGGGGGCAGGCCTACTGTCATTTCTGAGAGGGTATATATATATATTCTGAGAGGGTGAGAGGGTAGGGCAAGAAAGTGCCTTCCGCGCTGCCCCAATGCGTGTTGGCAGACTTCACAAGTCTTCGAAATATTATTTTTTGTTTTATATTTCTCAAGCACGTGGTAAATCAGCACTTAAAACAGCAATTAATAATTTCATTGGTGACGGTGGGGATTGAACCCGGGTTACTCGCGTACTGTGAAATTTACAGCCAAAAATCGTGAGTAAACCCGCATGTCTGAGAAAAAAATATTTCGAAGACATGTGAAGTGCGGAAACACGCATTAAGGCAGTGCGCGGGATACTTTCTTGTTCTAAAACCCTTTCAAATGTGAGAGGAGGCCTGTGCCCAGCTGTGGAACAAATATAGGCTGTAACTATTTTTCTACTTTTATATTCTATATATACTGCGCCACTATACGGATAACTGTGTAGGGACGATGTAAAAATATCATACCCCAAGTCATCCCGTTGGTCTCTTAAAAGACGACAAAGGGAAGCAAACCAGGAGATGAGCAGCAGCATCTTCGTAATAACAACTAAAAAATAAAAGCTACGCTTGCAAATCTGCTTGTCAAGCGTGGCAACTGGCAAAGTTCCCCCTATGAAGCAATCTGTAAGGGGAGCCTGTGATCTGAGATGGGCTGTAATGGTGTGTACGTGGTAGACCCATGCTGCAGCTATATTAGTGTTATAGTTGTAGGACGAATGGATTGGCTCGACCGGGAAGGACCACGTTCTTACAGAATACCAGCATAAAATAGCAGCTTAACACTGCTGTGTTCCGTATCGTGAGTATAGAGAACCAGATACCTTTTTTTTTGGAAACGAGACCTTCGTTCTTAGTGCTCACTAGTGACAACGCATCTGCTTTTTGATTCGTATCTGAGGATAGAGGTAGATGTCTATGGGCCACAGTAACCGCTTACGATGGTAACAATTGACTTTTTTTGGTTTGAATTGACAAACGAGCACACAGTCCACCTGATGAGGTGGACTGTGTGCTCGTTTGTCACCGTATCCTATAAAAAATAGACTTAGGCTTAAAGTGATTATTCTTCCGTTTTAGCTTTGTATTAACAAATTGGTTAACGTCAAAAGTCAGGGTTCTTTGGTTGTCATGTTAATATAATTCTTTCTCAAGGCATTCAACTTCTAAAGTTGAAGAGGAAGTTTACGTCATTTTGTGTTTTAATAATATGGTTACAGTCTTTGTAAGTAATATTGAAATGGTGCGATATTTCTAATGTAATCATTTTCGAAGCTTGTATAAATGATTATTATTTGCCGATTTTCACAATAGCTAAACGACGAAACTTTTGTATAAATTATTTGAGATAGGCCTTATAATATAACACCATTTAATAAAACTACGAGTTCATAATAATTGATGTAACGTAAAGCATAAAAGAAACAAAAATTTATTGTATATTTCATAAAACATGTTGATTTATAGGTCGTTTTAGCAATGATTTTTCAGTAAAAATCTGTATAAATATATTATAGCTATATTTAATCATTGGTAATTAAAATTGCTTCTTTTTAATCATGACAAGCGCCAAATTTTAACGCGGTTGACACTTCCTTGCCCTAAAACCCTCTCAGCAATGAGAGGAGGCCTGTGTCCAGCAGCGGGACGGCTGTAATTTGAAACGATAAATATGAATTATCTATTAAATTTAAAAAATCTTTATATGCGACTTATATTCATACTTTATGTACGACTAGCATAAGCTAGTAGGCGAGGCATGACACCAATAAGCTTTATCTCGTTTCGGCCACAGAGAGGTGTAAATTCGCGAGATAAGATCCGAATATCGGTGAAACATCGCGTTCTAGGTACGTAGGCTGCTTTAATTGGCGACTATTACCTTCTCTGCTATTTGCATGTACCGCATACGGACAAATAAGGTGTTTTCTGGTATCTGGTATTTATTTATAACTGTCTTGCGTGTTTTGACTCGATTTGCTACAGCAATAGAGACGTGAATAAAATTAATGATAATGCATGAATAACTTTCTATCTGATTTTTACTTGTGGGGCTTCAGAGATCGTCATTGGATAGACAAACTATATTCATATATATTTTACTTTAATAGATTCAAGTCGCAGTCCACCTCAAGGTAGTGGAGCTGCGGCCCATACACATTTACATTTATCTTTAGATTCAAAATGCAGAATATGTTGTCATTCCTGAGGACTAAGGTGCAATGACTTGTTTCCAGTAAAAAGGGTCTCCAATTCTCTACACTCACCATACGAAACACGGAAGCATTAAGCTGCTTTTTACCCTGGTATTCTGTGATAGTGTGCTTCTTCTTTAATCGAGCCTACCCATTCGTGCTACAACCATAAAATGGTTCTATCACTAGTAAAATGTGAAATTAATGTACAAGCAGCAATAATTCTTACTTATCAGCCTGGATCAGTCTACTGCAGCAGATAAGATTTAATCATTATAGAAAGGTTTTGCTACGGAAAGAATGTCCTTCAGACCGAAATTTTCGATCATGGGGACCTATTTCAAGGAAAAAAGTCTCCGTATCTCCATCTACGCAAGAAGGAATTGAATTGATGGACAACTGTGCTTGCGCTCGCTAATACGCATTAGCGAGCGCAAGCACAGTTGTACTGTCTATTTCCTTACTCACTCACTCTCATAATTTAATGAGACAGCTATCCTACAGGATGGACCAGTGAGTATTACTTGCTTTTCGAAGCACTTGGCTGAAACATCGCTAACTTTTTACCTCGGTCTGACAATTTCTTACCAGAAAAACCTAATAGATGATTTTGAGTTGAGACTGACCACATGAAGAACAGTCAATGACTACTACTTGTAGCTAGATTAATAAGGCAGTAAAAGATTAAGATCAATAGATCAATTGGGCAATCAAAGATTTGTCTATATCGTAACGTGCGGAATGTGCATTATTAACATATTATTTAATCTGTGGTATTAAATAAGGTTAGCTTGACTTTCT